ACCTAATAAAATATTACACCGCAAAAACAATTATTATGTGCACCCATCTATCTCTTCTTGTAACAACAATAAAATAAATTAACCCAATTGCCTATTAAGAACTCCCACAATTTAGGATCAAAACAAAGCCATCACGGTTTCGGAAATTCTTAACCCATATTATTCTATTGTTGTTTATGTACACGTAAAAATTTGTAATTGCTTGTAATCAATCTTGTATCCCACAAACACACCACCATTAAACCTAACATATCACATATTAATCTCAAAATATGAACCACCCAAACGGAATACAAAATACACTCTAAAATTGAGCAAAATAGAGAACCCCAACATAGACTACATCAATATAATTATTTAATCATATATGCCTATAAAATCATCTATTGATATATTAACACTAAAATCATAGATATGAATACAATAAAATAAATCTTACCTAAGTGATGAATAAAGCAAAACCACCACTCTTATAAATCCTCCCTCTTCCTTGGTTTGGGTTTCTTTTCTTTAATTTTAAACTTTTCCAAACCCATGTTTGCTGCTTTCACCTTTAACTCTTCCAAACCCTTTCTGCAGCACAAGCCTCTCTTCTCTTTTTCTTTTCTTTTTTCTTTTACCTTCTCAAACCCTAGCCACCTATGGAGCAATTCATAGCCTCTGTTTTGTTTGTTTTCCAACGACGTCGTTTTGGCCATTTTGATGTTGTTTTGTACTCAAAACGACATCGTTTTGGCCATTTGAACCACATTTGAGCCACAGAATTTGGGCCCTCTACCATTGCTCTTTTTTGTTTTCTTCTCCAAGACTAAAAGCCACGGCATCTCATACTTAACCTAATATTCTTTTCTTTTTCCAAAATTACAAAATTACCCACCTATGTTATAGAAATAATAATGCCATCTCATAATTAATTCCTTAATATTACTAAGTGACCCATATAATTTAATTTAATTACCAATCTATCCAAAAATAATAATATACAAAACTTAAGTTTTACACCACTTGTCTCAACATGTAGCCATGCAAGACTTCCTCAATTTTAAAGTAAGTTGCTTAACCCTTGTTCTTTTTAATCATCGAAGAATAGGTCCAATTTAATTTTGGTCATGGACAATTAGGTAGAGTGTATTTACTCATATTCTTATACTTCTTGGCAAATTCCACTAGTAATAGATATTATTACAATGTGCGTCAAGGTTATCTTGCAAAAATAATTACGGTTCTCACAGGTTGCCATATAAAAATTGACACAACAAGCAGGGGCGGAGGGACTGGGGGCTCAGGAGAGTCACGAGCCTCCCTGACTTTTGAATTTTTTTGTTTTTTTTTAATATTAAAGTGGGGTCTGCTTTCACACCGTGCAGTACTAGTAGTGCCCCCACTTAATACTAACAACAATGATTTAGACCACTAAAAATTATATTATTAATAGTACTAATATATTGAAAATGGTAAAAAAAAGAAAAAAATAAAATAAAATAAGGCATAGAAAGTGGACGGGAACCACTGTCACATCATTAGTGCTCCTTCTAATGCTCCATTTTTAATGCTCCAAGCATTTTTCTAATACTAATACATACCCCTTCCAATTATATGTCAAACCCACTGACACACATGCAACCAGGTTTGGTTTTTTATTTTTTTGTTTTTTGAATCCCAACACCAATTAAATATTGACACAAATAAGGCATAGAAAGTGGGCGGGAATCACTGTCACATCATTAATGCTCCTTTTAATGCTCCATTTTTAATGCTCCAAGCATTTTTCTAATACTAATACATACCCCTTCCAATTATATGTCAAACCCACTGACACACATGCAACCAGGTTTGGTTTTTATTTTTTATTTTTTATTTTTTATTTTTTAAATCCCAATTCCAATTAAATATGGACACATAATTTTTTTTTTGAAAAGTACACACAACTCCAATTACAATAAGGTAAAAATTCTAAAATCTTAAAAGTGTATAAAATTCTTTATTTTTTTAATTTATTCACAGTACTTGTTAAGTATTTTGTATTTTCTTTGTCTCCCTTTGTTGCTTTGTAATTTGCCAACTTGAGATTCACCAAATTAGGATCACACAACAAAGATTTGGGACCACATTACAACATTGGTATCTTCTCTTCATTGTTTACAAGTAACTTTATTTATTTATTTATTTTTACTTTTAAATAAAAATTATGAGTATTAATTTATAGTTATTTATTAAGTTTTGATTTGTAAAATTTTTTGATTTGTTATTATTTATGTTAAAATAAGAGATTTTGATATGCTAAAATTATGAATCTTAATTGGTGGTGATTTATATTAAAATTATGGATTTTGGTTTGTTGTTGCTTGTGCTAAAATTAGGAATTTGATTTGTGCTAAAATTAAAAATATTTATTTGCAGTGTTTAATATTTAAATTAGGGATTTTGATTTGTTATAATTTGTGCTAAAATTAGAAATTTTGATTTGTTGTGATTTGTGCTAATTTAAATTTTTTTGATTTGTGTTAACATTGGAGATTTTGATTTGTGGGGATTTGTGATTTTGATTATGAATTTTTATTTTGATTTTTAGGTTTTTCAAACAGTCATCGAGAAATATTTCAAAAGAAAATTAAAGTTGGAATCATCTCTTCCTCAAGAAGAAGATAATAATTATTCTTCCGCAAAACAAAGTCGCATAGAAATCAACTTAGTAGACGTTCCTATAGATCTATGACTACGGCCTCGAATTATGGACTATAATGCTAATGATCGAGACCGAATTCGTAAGGCATATCTACAAAAAGGTCCTTGTCAACCTCGTGATCATAATTTTTCACAAAAATCATTTGAACAAAAACTTTGGCGATTTAATCAGGCATGGTTTAGTGAATTTCCTAATGGTACTTAATGATCAACTTGACACATATATTATCGACATGCTATCCAGTAGTGAGCTCTCAGTGTTGAATGGAATTGCCGATTTTGTTAAGAAAATGGTGGAGACTGGAAGAGACAAAGTATATCCATTGGTGTATTTGCTCTTGATTTTAGTATTAATCTTACCTGTTGCAACTGCTATTGTTGAAAGGGTATTTTCAGCTATGAATATTGTGAAGAATCGGTTGCGGAACCGAATGGGTGATGAATGGATGAATGATAGCTTAGTTGTCTACATTGAGAGATATATTTTTTATGACATTGACAATGATACTATTATGGAAAGATTTTAAAAGATGAAAACTCGTCGGGGTCAATTGTAAAAATTTAAAATTAAAAACTATTTGTAATGAATATTAATTTTTAATGTTTAACATTAATTCGAAAAATTATTATTATGTTATTGTTATTGATTGGGGAAGAAAAATTTTGAGATTGTAATTAATAAATGCCCCCCTATATTAAATTTCTGGCTCCGTCACTGACAACAAGTGAAGAAACTCTTAGAAATAACAATGTCAATTTCGAAAGTTCAAGTAAAATAATTCAAATTGGTTAAACAAACAAATCGGAACTTTCATCCATATTCCCTTTACCTTTTTGTTATTTAATTTAGCTCCTTTGGTTCTAAAAAGATAATAGAAAAGTGATTTATTTATTTATTTTTTTTTTTACATATTTTCTACATGTTCAACAAAAATCATAATAATTAGGAAATAGTTGGAACCAATGAGATTAGCTTGTTTGGCTTTAATCTTTGTATTTTATTAGAAGGTCAGTTGTTCAATTCTTGTTACCTGCCCGTGGGTATTACTCTCGTGTATTTGTTAATATCATAAATGATTCGTCAAGAAGAAATTTTAAAAATAAAAGAAGAGGAAAATTTAAAACTAGAACTTCTCCCTTGATAAGAAAAAAGATGACTTCCTATGCAAGTTCTTTCTTTTGTCATTCCATACATCCATAAGAAGGCCAAATGTAGTTTTATAATTTTGATTATAACTATAGAATAAATTAACAATATTCTATCCCATATATCTAAAAAAAGTTAACGATATTCTATCTTTCAAATACACTCGCTAGACAAACTATGTATACATATTAGGGTCGGATATGGGCCATGCTTGGGCAAATTGGAGTCGGATCAATGTTACATAATAATATTTGAAATCATTTTCTAAGTCTGGCTCTATCTAGGTATGGGCTCATACTTTATTACTAAGCCCGTCTAAAAATAAAATAAAAAATCTTAAGCATGTCCACATAGACTGATTATTATTTAATTTTTTTTTTATATTTTAAAATAAAAATTGTAATTAATTTTATCATTTGGGTGTCTCTTTAACCTATTCAAGGCTAATAGTTAAAATTTTATAACTAATTCTTTACATAACTAGTAATATATAATTTTTGTTAATAAAAAAACTTAAGCAACATAAATATGAATATTTATAATAAGAAAAAGATGTTATATATAGTTTGTGGGCAGGATGGGTAGGGTTGGACTTGAAGCAGTTTTTCCAAGCCTGGCCCATACTATAATTGGATCTAAAAGAATTGCCCAACCTAGTTTTGTGGGCCTAAATCATAGTCCCAAACCTTATAAATTATGGGCTGTCTTGTCTTTGACAAGCTATTGGACATCCACCATATTGAAGTGATGCTTTTCTTAAATATGATCTTTTTGCAAGTTAGAATTTATCATATTATGTTATTGTTCTTATATTTTGAAAGGTTATAATTTTTCAAAATCTTAGTTTGACCATGTTCCCCTTATCATATGCACAAATGTTCCATGCATTTATCCTCAGATTAAGGCTATCTATTTTTGATAGCTTACAACAACAACAAAAAGTTGAGACTTTTAATTCCCCTAAATGTGGAGATCAAGCTGTTCATGCCCTAAAATTAACACAAAATCATTCCATTCACTAGTTGTATTTGACTTCTTCAAACCCTTTGTATTGCATAAAAAAAGTAGCCATTTTCCACCTCATCCACAAAAACTCAACCTATGACATTGATCCACCATTTTTGGTATTGTGTCCTATAAAATGCTAATGGAGTCCCCATTCCTCCTTCAAAACAAACCAACCCCAACCAAACCCATCCAGAGAGGTAAAAAAACAAAGAGCCCCAAAAATGACAAAGGTACAGCTTTCTTTGTTTCTTTTGGCAGCCCTTTGCTGCCAAATGGCCTCTCCGGCAAGCGCTCTTATCCACATTGTTGGAGGAAGTCTTGGATGGAGTATCCCCCCAAATGCAACATATTTCCAAGACTGGGCTAAATCAAGGGTGTTTGGCGTCAACGACAGACTATGTAAGTACTTGCATACTTTTTCTGCGTCCTCCACATAAGTGTCTCACGTGTATTTATTAATGTGAATTCCAAGGTCGTTTACATCAAGCATTACATTTCATTTTAATGTCTTGTGTGTCGAATTTCAATGCATGTGCATGCTAACAACTTATTATGCTAGGATTTGTTTTCCTGACGAGCCAATTTTTGCAGTTTTCCCCTTCAGAAGTGATTTGCACACTGTGCAAGAGGTCAGCAAAGATGATTTTGATAAATGCACACAAAATTCAGTCATAAGCACACACAGCACCGGGCCTCTTGCTTTGACCTTCACAAAGCCTGGTGACTATTACTATTACTCTGCTGTTGGGATCCAATGCGAGGCTGGCCAAAAGCTCCACATCACTGTTGTTCCCGGAAATGGCTCATCTGGAAGGACTGTTCCATCTGCCAACTCCATAAAACAACATCTTCATCCTCATCTTCATCCTCACCATCACCATCACATCCATACCCGCAAATGCGTTGGCAACTGCTAGTTTTAATTGGGTTGGCGGTTGGGGAAATGAAAAATGGTTTGATTTTCATTTGTGGCATGGCAAACGATTTGATTTTCCCTTTATGTCATAACTATTCCTATAAAGAACGCAACATTTGTTTTGAGTCTATTAAAATTCTATCTATGTTGTAAGTCGTTTCATATGATTGATTGTAAGCCACAATGACCAATGCATTAAGTTGTACTTATGGTGTTGATGTCGGATGACCGGTGAGAATGAAATAACCAATACAAAATAAAAAAAAAAGATATACCAAACACAAGAAAATAAATATCAAAGTTTTCCAAATTATTACATAAAAGGCAAACATCCAAAAAAAGTCTTAATTAAAAGTTATCCAAAATTAAAATTGCAATAATTAAAATACTAATAAAATAACAAAGCCTGTAAAACTAAGGTAATACAATAAATCATAGAAATTTATTCTTGATCATTTGTGTTTGTGAATGGAGTGGTTTCGAATTTGAAATGCATAATTTCGGTCTAAGAATGTTATGTCACTAATTTTTTTATCATTGTCTATGTCGATGATTAGTTTCTTTGTTTAGAAATAATTATTAAAAAATTTATGCAAACAAATGACATCTTGCTATGTAAACCGATGATATAAAATGATAAAAAAAAAAGAAAAGAAAAAAGAAAAAAGAAAAAAGAAGGGGGACTTACCAGTCGGTCCCATGGAAATAAGTTAATACCAGTCAAGTCCTATCCTATTTCCATTTCCAATTTTACCCCTTCACATCACACCACACCACACGACACGTGTGAAGCAAAGAAGCCATCACGAGCTCTCTCCTGTACGCGTGACACACATGCGCCTTTTCAAGGGTTCTATTGCAGACGAACCTGTGAAGATTTGGAAACCATTCTAAGGCGATTTTTGATTTGGAAATCGAAACAAACGAAGAGATTTTCGGCGAATCTCTCATCGTTTCCAAAGAAATCGGCAATTGTTTTCATACCGACGCTGAACAGATCCCCAACAAATCTTCCACCGTTTCGATCTATATTTCGATTCGGACATCTACTCTCCCTGTTTAGTTCATCTTCAGCAAACATGTCAATCAAATGTGAGTTGTACTCATCTTCCCTTCTTTTTTCACAACTATAATTAAGTGATAAAATTCGACTTGAAGCAATTTTCAATGTGTATGATACAATATTAATTTATCAATGATATTCAACTTCATAATAATCATATCTTCATGTTCATTTGCTATATAACGATAGATTTGTTTACTTTTGCTAATTCAGTGATAAAATTTGCTATACAATGACAGATTTGCTTACTTTACCTAATTTAGTGATAAAATTTGCAATAAGAATGATAGATTTGCTTAATTTTCCTAATTGAGTGATAACATTTCCTATACAATGACGAATTTCCTTACTTTACCTAATTCAGTGATAAAAATTGTTATGACAATGTCAGATTTGCTTAATTTGCCTAATTGAGTGATAAAATTTGTTATAATGATGATTTTGCTTCCCTTCTTCTTTCATAACTATAATTAAGTGATAAAATTCAACTTGAAGCTATTTTCAATGTATACATATATTATTAATTTATCAGTGATATTCAACTTCATAATAATCATATCTTCATGTTCATTTGCTATACAATGATGGATTTGCTTACTTTTGCTAATTCAATGAAAAAATTTGCTATACAATGACAGATTTGCTTACTTTGCTTAATTTAGTAATAAAATTTGCTGTAACATTGACAAAAGGACTTGACCATGCAACCTATGTCTATTAAATGACATTGACAAAATATTGAAGGGTGAAGATTTAGCAGGCATTGTAAATTGAATTCGTAGCTCATTAAAATAACATTTTAATTTTTTATTTATATTAATTCCTTGTTTTGTTTTTTGTGTTCAACATAGGTAATAGACGCATATGCAGAATACTTGCTTGCACAAAAACAAGGAACAACATTATTCATATTCATTTCAAGTTGCCATGTAAGTAATACATAGTATTTGTCATTTTTTTTTCCTAGATATTTATGTATTGTTTAATGAAAAAATTGTTTGTGATCTACGCGGCATCTCATCTATGCTAGGAAATTATGCAAGAAATAAGTTTTATTAATGTGTAACCTCTGTTTGCTTAACTGAGTAATGAATTTTGCAATGCGGTGATAAATTTTGATATGGAGTGATAAAATTTTTATCACAGTGATAAATTTGCTTGATTTTGTGGTAGCAAATTATTTAGCCTTTCTGTTTATGTTGTGTGGTTGAGTTCATTGTTGTGATTTTATAATACTTTGTTTACTTAATTAAGTTAAAAACAAAGTATTATAATACAAGTACTTCAATTTATCACTATAAATTGCATACTTGCCACCTACTCAATTTGAAAAAGCTTAAATTAACATTATTTTTTTATTTGTATTAGTTAGCACTTGTTGACAACAAAAGATGAGGAAGTAACAAAGAAAATGCTGAACAAGTTGATGCTTGAAACCATGAAAGGAAGATACCTTCTCTTCCCAATCCATCAAAATTTTCATTGCACAATACTTGTCCTTGACATTGAAGAAGGTTCATGGAAATTCTACAATTCCATGAAACTAAGGGGTGCAATGGATAAAGATCCATACTTCAATACCGCAAATGAAGTGGTAAAAATGTTTTCACTATCAAACTTACCATTAATCCAATATATCAATCCTGATGCATGCTCAATTATACATCAAAAATTTATACAGTGATATATTTTATCATTCTTTAAATCTATGGTTTCTCATTAATTGTTTCAACTGACTTTCTAATAGAACAATTATACAAATCTATATGTTGTAGAGAAAGATTATTGACAAGTACATTAAGGAAGATAAGCTAACTCTCATCGCCCCTGATAAATTTCAACAGGAGACAGAGAGAGTCATCAACAGCCCACAATAAGAAGACACTTCATAAGTTGATCAATAACAAAACACTCTAATAAAAAAAATGTAACGAAACCAAATTATAATATTTTATTTTCAAAATGTTTTTGCAGGCTTGATTGTGGAATCATTGTTTACTATATCATGAGACAATATGTTTCCGGTAACAACATAATGTCTACTTTTTCCAAGGAAGAATGCAATCAATTGAGAGCCGATATATTAACTATCTTCTTGACTGACCAACAAACTGCTCAATAATAAATAGTTGATGAAAACATTGATGACTTGCCTCTGTAATAATCAACAGATCTGGAAGAAAAGAAAACATTTTGCTTGTTTGCTTGTTACAGTGTAACAAAAAGAAAACATTGATTCATTTAGTTGTTAGAATGTGAATATCATCGCTACATTTCTTAACTATCCATGCCTTTATATCATTAAAAGCTTCTTCCAACTTTTTCTCTACAAAAGGACAAACAATACGATTCTACTTATTTCCAACTTCTCTCTTTTTTGAAAATTGCTCCATTAGTTTCACCCGTATAGCATCAACAAGATTAGTTGAAAACAAATGGCGCTTATCCCTAATCCATGAATTAAAAGATTCCGCAGCATTTGTGCACATTTCACCATACGTCTTGCCTTGAAAATAAGCGTTACACCAACACTCATTAGGCAAATCCTCAAGAAACTTCTGAACACTATGACCACAACGACTCTTAAATTCTTCAAATAGCTCATTAAACAACTCAATAGTAGGAGCATATGTACATCTACTAAAAAGAGTGAGCAAATACTGTTTAGATTCGCGACTCTTCATTGACAAATAAGTCTTCAAGTTTGTCTTCAAATGTATTAGACAAAAAGAATGAGAAGAAAACAGAAAGACCTCAGCTAAAGCTTTCAGCAAACCGCCATGCCGATTAGTAACAAACGTAATATCCCTTCCCAGAGTCAAAATAACAAATAATTTTGATAAGAACCAATGCCAATTGTCATAACGTTCACTATCAACAATGGCAAAACATAACAGATATAAACCTACAAATAAAATACATACACATTATTCGTAACAAATAAAAAATATTACAAAACAAAAGCAAAACGCAAAGTATATAACATATAACATCAACCATAGATAACTTTATCACTGTATTACTACAACAATTTACTTGCAACATACAACATATAGAATCAATGCATAATAAATTTATCACTGTATAAATATAAAAATTTAACGAAAGTATACAGTATACGAAAGTATACAGTATACAAAAGTATACAGCATAAATTTATCACTAATTGATTAACCATACTCAATAATCAACACTCTCCAGTAACAAAAATGATAAAATTATCACTGTTTCAATGATAATAACAAAATAGGCACAGAATATACCTTGGTTACTGTCTTTTGCCGTAGCAGCCAATAAACAACCTTTGTGTCTTCCTTTTAAGAAAGTTTCATCAAGCATCAACACAGGCCGACAATACTTGAAACCATGAATACATACCTCAAAAGTGAAAAACAAGCATTTGAAATGTCTTCCTTTACTATCAATATCAAATTTCATATAAAAAACACTCCTCGAATTACAATCATTAGCGACATCAACATACCAACGAAGATTGTCAAATAAAGATGAATAGTCACCAAAAACAATATTCCTTATTTTTTCAATACCCATCCAAACTCGCCAATAAGAAACTTCTGCTCCATAATAGTCCTTGAAATCACAAACCACCTCACTAACCGATGTCAAAGCCTTATTACGAACCTCACTTGAAATTAGCCCACCAATCATACTCGAAGTCATTCTAGTATGTTTAATTGTACGAAAAGAAGATCTACACACATGAACATCATCAAATTGTTTAATAACAAAAGCTTTATTAGAATTTTCCACTCTAGCATGCACGCTCCATAAACATCCCAAATCACCCCTTCTTTTATAATGAATAGTGACACGATCCTTGTCATTCTTAACAAAATCAAAATCAAAACCGGAATGAATAGAATACTGTGACAACGCATCTCAAAATTCAACGACTCCTCAAGCAAACCTTTGACCCACTCCTTTTATATCAGAGAGCAAAGGTTTCCATTGATTTCAATAAAATAAAGACAAAAAATCAATTTCACAAACAACACTACTACTACTACCAGTTCCACCATCAAAAATCATATAACCTTCACTCAAAGAACAACACTTAACCAAAACATCAATACGATGAATATCACAAGAAAGTGCGAGTCCAACCATAACCTCCAAATCCTCTTCACTTTGTAGACCATAACAAGAATGTCCAGGCATTGAATACGATATATTCAAAGAACTACCAACTAACTCACTCCGCTTTGCACACAATTTATATACTAAATCCTTGAATTTAAACCCATCATTATACTTGATAACCAATGTCACACCTCTAAACTTGCACATAAGAAACAAACAATTTTCCATCATTATAAATCCTACAACAAACAACAATTATATTTCAGCAAACAACTCAAACATTCAACAATCTAAAACAAAATCTAATACAGTGATAAAATTATCAACCAACTCAACACATCCAAAAACCAACAGTGATAAATTTAACAATTAACACTACTAAAGACCAAGAGCATGAAAGTGAATAAGGCTTACATTTTATTGGGCATGGTAACTCGATTTGAATCTTATCATTATATTATGTAACTTTTTCATCTCCTATTCCTATACTCACTAATATAATTTATCAGTGTGAAAAAATTAATCCAACAACACCCTCAAACTACTCAGTGATAAAATTATCACTTGTAGAAAATCACAAACCAGCACCTGTGTTCAACCAAAACAATTTCTTCCAAAAAAAAATCTAATATTCATTACATATACATATCTCGTAGTTCAATATCATGATCAAAATACAAATTTCGACGAAACAACAATAATAACAACAATATCACAAGAAAATCAAAATCACAAACTCAAACTAAAAAACCAAAACATCGAAATTGAAAATCAAAATCAAACTATACCAGTCGAGCTCCTCCACAAAATCGTAAATCACAAAATCTAATTATACACCAAACATGAAATCACAAAACACAAGATTCAGATTTAATAAAAAGAAAACACAAATCAGCTCCCCCATGAGATCGCAAATCGCAAAATCCAAATATACACAAGGCGAAATCCAAATCAGAAGCTCCACAATAATGCATTAATAAATCGCAGAATTCACAGAAATCCAAATCCCAAACCCAAACCCAAACCCAAACTCACATCACAGTATTTTGATGGCAAAAATCAAATAGAAACGGCCACAAAAGGGGAAAACAAAACAGGGGAAAACAGGTACAAAAAAGAACTCCAGGACCTATTGTGCCAAAACATCAATATTCAGGACTAAGAAAGAATAACTATAAAAAGTAGACCGGCATAAAAAACCCAAAAAAGAAAGTGATAGAAAACACATCTGTCCATTGGGCTCTTAAGCATGGGTTCCAACTTTCAGCCCATAATTTAGAACATGACGTATGGCCTGGATGGTTCCCTACATAGCTAGTACTAATAATTGGAAAAATTCAAATCAGCTAAAAATTAAAATAAATATAAAATTAATCATAAATTTTATTAATATTAATTATTAAAATTATAAAATTTTCCACGGATAATAACTCTACCAACTTTCCAATGTTTTAGACGCTGCTGTCCGCTGATATAAAACACGCTCGCTCGAGCGAAGGCTTGGTCGCTCGAGCGACCGGACACAGAAAACTCTCGCTCGAGCCAAGAAGTTCTCGATCGAGCGAAGAAAAACCCAGACCGCTCGAGCGAAGGAAGCTCGCTCGAGCCAAGAAATACAACTCTCAGGTCCAGACCCAGACGCCATCACTCGCTCGAGCGAAGCCACTCTGGCTCGACCCACCAGACACGAACTCAACTCTCGTTCGAGCGACCAACTCCTCGCTCGAGCGAAGGACCAAAAATCTGGGCAGCAACACTAGGCTCCCAAACACAACCAACCTGTAACAAACCTGCCCAACACATCCCATAACTCAATATATAAGGTACAAAGGATGCAAACACGATAATAAACAACAACCAACATCCACGGACACATGTCCGGATCACTGTACAACAAGGGTAAACCCGGGATCGCTATACTTCGTAAGTTGATCAATAACAAAACACTCTAATAAAAAAAATGTAACGAAACCAAATTATAATATTTTGTTTTCAAAATGTTTTTGTAGGCTTGATTGTGGAATTATTGTTTACTATATCATGAGACAATATATTTCTAGTAACAACATAATGTCTACTTTTTCCAAGGAAGAATGCAATCAATTGAGAGCCGATATATTAACTATCTTCTTGACTGACCAACAAACTGCTCAATAATAAATAGTTGATGAAAACATTGATGACTTGTCTTCGTAATAATCAACAGATCTGGAAGAAAAGAAAACATTTTGTTTGTTTGCTTGTTACAGTGTAACAAAAAGGAAACATTGATTCATTTAGTTGTTAGAATGTGAATATCATCGCTACATTTCTTAACTATCCATGCCTTTGTATCATTAAAATCTTCTTCCAACTTTTTCTCTACAAAAGGACAAACAATACGATTCCACTTATTTCCAACTTCTCTCATTTTTAAAAATTGCTCCATTAGTTTCACCCGTATAGCATCAACAAGATTAGTTGAAAACAAATGGCGCTTATCCCTAATCCATGAATTAAAAGATTCCGCAGCATTTGTGCACATTTCATCATACGTCTTGCCTTGAAAATAAGCGTTACACCAACACTCATTAAGCAAATCCTCAAGAAACTTCTGAACACTATGACCACAACGACTCTTAAATTCTTCAAATAGCTCATTAAACAACTCAATAGTAGGAGCATATGCACATCTACTAAAAAGAGTGAGCAAATACTGTTTAGATTCGCGACTATTCATTGACAAATAAGTCTTCGAGTTTGTCTTCAAATGCATTAGACAAAAAGAATGAGAAGAAAACAGAAAGACCTCAGCTAAAGCTTTCAGCAAACCTCCATGCCGATCAGTAACAAACGCAATATCCCTTCCCAGAGTCAAAATAACAAATAATTTTGATAAGAACCAATGCCAATTGTCATAACGTTCACTATCAACAATGGCAAAACATAACGGATATAAACCTACAAATAAAATATATACACATTATTCGTAACAAATAAAAAAGATTACAAAACAAAAGCAAAACGCAAAGTATATAACATATAACACCAACCATAGATAACTTTATCACTGTATTACTACAACAATTCAATTGTAACATACAACATATAGAATCAATGCATAATAAATTTATCACTGTATAAATATAAATATTTAATGAAAGTATACAGTATACAAAAGTATACAGTATAAATTTATCACTAATTGATTGACCATACTCAATAATCAACACTCTCCAGTAACAAAAATGATAAAATTATCACTGTTTTAATGATAATAACAAAATAGGCACAAAATATACCTTGGTTACTGTCTTTTGCCGTAGCAGCCAATAAACAACCTTTGTGTCTTCCTTTGAAGAAAGTTTCATCAAGTATCAACACAGGCCGACAATACTTGAAACCATGAATACATGCCTCAAAAGCGAAAAACAAGCATTTGAAATGTCTTCTTTTACTATCAATATCAAATTTCATATAAAAAACATTCCCCGAATTACAATTATTAGCAACATCAACATACCAACGAAGATTGTCAAATAAAGATGAATAGTCACCAAAAACAACATTCCTTATTTTTTCAACACCTATCCAAGCTCGCCGATAAGAAATTTCTGCTCCATAATAGTCCTTGAAATCACAAACCACCTCACTAACTGATGTCAAAGCCTTATTACGAACCTCACTTGAAATTAACCCACAAATCATACTCGAAGTCATCCTAGTATGTTTAATTGTACGAAAAGAAGATCCACACAAGTGAACATCATCAAATTGTTTAATAACAAAAGCTTTATTAGAATTTTCCACTCTAGCATGCACGCTCCATAAACATCCCAAATCAGCCCTTCTTTTATAATAAATAGTGACACGATCCTTATCATTCTTAACAAAATCAAAATCAAAACCGGAATGAATAGAATATTGTGACAACGCATCTCGAAATTCAACGACTCCTTGAGCAAACTTTTGACCCACTCCTTTTATACAATTAACCCACCTATCGGAGAGCAAAGGTTTCCGTTGATTTCAATAAAATAAAGACAAAAAATCAGTTTTACAAACAACACTACTACTACTACCAGTTTCACCATCAAAAATCATATAACTTTCACCCAAAGAACAACACTTAACCAAAACATCAATACGATGAATATCACAAGAAAGTGCGAGTCCAACCATAACCTCCAAATCCTCTTCACTTTGTAGACCATAACAAGAATGTCCAGGCATTGAATACGATATATTCAAAGAACTACCAACTAACTCACTCTATTTTGCACACAATTTATATACTAAATCATTGAAATTAAATCCATCATTATACTTGATAACCAATATCACATCTCTAAACTTGCACATAAGAAACAAAGAATTTTCCATCATTATAAATCCTACAACAAACAACAATTATATTTCAGCAAACAACTCAAACAATCTAAAACAAAATCTAATACAGTGATAAAATTATCAACCAACTCAAACACATCCAAAAACCAACAGTGATAAATTTAACAATTAACACTACTAAAGACCAAGAGCATGAACAGTGAATAAGGCTTATATTTATTGGGCATGGTAACTCGATTTGAATCTTATCATTATATTATGTAACTTTTTCATCTCCTATTCCTATACTCACTAATAAATTTATCAGTGTTGAAAAAATTAATCCAACAACACCCTCAAACTACTCAGTGATAAAATTATCACTGTAGAAAATCACAAACCAGCACCTGTGTTCAACCAAAACAATTTCGTAACCAAAAAAAAAAAAAAAAAAATCTAATATTCATTACATATACATATCTCAAAGTTTTCAATATCATGATCAAAATACAAATTCAATCGCATAAACAACATAATAACAACAATATCACAAAGAAAATCAAAATCACAAACTCAAACTAAAAAATACCGAAACATCGAAATTGAAATCAAAATCAAACATACCAGTCGAGCTCCCTCCACAAAATCGTAAATCACAAAATCTAATTATACACCAAACATGAAATCACAAAACACGAAGATTCACCGATTTATAAAAAGCAAATCACAAATCGAGCTCCCCCCATGAGATCGCAAATCGCAAAATCCAAATATACACCAAGCGCGAAATCACAAATCATGAAGCTCCACAATAATGCATTAATAAATCGCGAAATTCCACAGAAATCCAAATCCCAAACCCAAACCCAAACCCAAACTCACATCACAGTATTTTGATGGCAAAAATCAAATAGAAACGTGCCAAAATAGGGGAAAACAAAACAGGGGTAAAACAGGTACAAAAAAGACTCCAGGACCTATTAGTGCACAACATCAATATTCAGGACTAAGAAGGGAATAACTATAAAAAGTAAGACCGGCTACTAAAAAACCCAAAAAGAAAGTGATAGAAAACACATGCTGTCCATTGGGCTCTTAAGCATGGGTTCCAACTTTCAGCCCATAATTTAGAACATGACGTATGGCCCTGAGATGGTTCCCTACCATAGCTAAGTATATAATTGGAAAAAATTCAAATCAGTGTAAAAATTTAAAAATAATTATAAATTAATCATAAATTTTATTAATATTAATTATTAAAATTATAAAATTTTCCACGGATAATAACTCTACCAACTTTCCAATGATGGATAATTTTCCCTATATAATTTGTGAGATGTTATCACCAAGTGGTTTTTCCTCTTATTGCCATCACTATGGCGTGGCACATGTAAACTACCTATTGGCAATTAAGCCATTTTTATGTTTGGGTTTCATATCTAGGTATTATATGTGCTATTTCATGTGCTATTAACCACATTATTGGATGAATCTTATATTTGATTTAGAAAATATGAACACTAGACTCATCAAAATAATATTTAAATATAATTATTATAATATATTTTAATGGGAAACTTTATAATGTACGCTTCTAAAAATGGGCACATTCTTTTAGTAAAAATTATGTTTTTTTGTAATAAGAAAAGTTATATTATACACGGGTTATGTTCTAAAATTTTGAAATATTATTATAACATATATACTATATATATATACCTTTTTAGGGATCCCCCTAGTAACATTTTGGAGAAACTATATAAAAAAAACTCAAAATTTGACTTTTATAATAAAATATATCTTTATTTTTTAATTTTACTAATTTAAAACTTTATTTTTTTTATTTGTTTTCAATCTAAACTATTTGTCTATTTTTATTGAGTAAAATTAATGAGAAAATGAGTATTTTTGTCATTCACTACAAGAAAAAGCAGAATTGGCGACTAAAAATAGAATTTTCGTCGCTAAAAGTAGCAGAATTGGCGACTAAAATGGAATTAGTTTACTTTTGGCGACTGAAACAGTTTAGTAGCCAAATATATAGTTTTTGGTGACTAAAAATCAGTTTAGTCGCCGATTATATGGGTTTTAGCGACTAAAAAAATTTTTGTAGCCAAAAGTGAAAGTTTTTGGCGACTAAAAGAATTTAGTAGCGAAAAGTATAGGTTTTGACGACTAAAAAATAGTTTGGTCGCCGATTGTATGTGTTTTACCGACAAAATTAAATTTTGTAGCCAAAAGTGAAGCTTTTTGGTTATTAAAAAAAATTTAGTAGCTAAAAGTCTACAATTGGCGACTAAAATTCAGTTTAGTCGCCAAAAGTGGAGGTTTTTGGCGGGAATTAATTCTTTTAGCTACTAAAAAATAATTAGTAGCCAAAAGTATAGAATTGGCGACTAAAAAACAGATTTAGTCGCCAAAAGTGGTCTCCTATTTTTTTTTTTGTAAATAATTTTATTTTTTACATAAATTATATTGAATAAAAATAATTATGTTTATATATATAGTTTTATATTAATACGGGTCAATATACTATATAAATAATATATGTTGCGTATATAATCATGTGGTATTATAGAGGCATAGTGGAGAGAGTGTGTTGCTTAAGGTTTATAATGTGGGAGGTTGGTGGTTCGAATCTCAGCGGAAGAGAAATATTTATTTATTTCTTTCACGGAATGAGCTTTGGCGACTAAAATTATTGGTCGCTAAAAGTGTTTCTTTTGGCGACTAAAAAGTTTGGTCGGCGATTCATTGACTATTGACGACTAAAAGATTAGTCGGTAAATGTACAATTTTAAAAAGTGTAATTGACTATTGGCGACCAAAACTTTGGTCGGTAAAGACCTATTTTTTGCCGACTAAAACTTTTTTAGTCGCCAATACCTCCGGCGACCATGTGTTCGCGACAAAACCGGCGACTAAAAAATTTAGTCGGGAAAACTAAAAAGTCGACTTTTGGCGACTAAAAATGGACTTTTGACGACTAAAAATATAGTCGCCAAAGGTATTTTTTCTTATAGTGATTAAACTCAATGAAAAATAGTATTTTAGACATTTTATATATATCTACATTGAGTTTTTTTTTAGATGAAAAAACACAAGACTTAATATATTGCATATTCGACAATAAATTATCTAACAAAGTATATTAAAGGATAAAATAGATTCCACAAAATATAAAGAGAACCTTCATGCAAGAAGGATATGAGTCTCTACATAGGGAGAAAAATTAACCTCCACACAAGGAGGAGAAAATCTCTACATATAGAGATATTATTGCAAAAAAAAAAGAACTACCAAACAAACAATACCAATCACCTTTATAATTCGTTCATCATCGCAATCGGTAGCTGTAGTATCTTAATCTTTGCATCTACATTACAAAATAAAACATTCTTGTTTTGAGATGGTTGCCCAACGTATAACAACGCGCTTAATAGCATCAGATCTTGGTTATGAATCAAGTCTGAGTCTAGATCTGAAAGTTTCGTCGATAGCAAGTCGATAATGACATTACAAAAAATTAAGGTTTTACAGACTAAAATTTAGGGACAAAATTATTTTTTAGGGATCAAATATTTTTGTTACGAAAGGTGTCATTATTATATGGACATTAGTGATGAATTATTATCATTTTAGGACCAAATTTTTTATCTAAAAAAATAAACTATTTTGAGACCAAATTATTTTGTCCCTAAAATTCTATTTATTAGTGACATTTTCAAAATTGTCTCTAAAAGCCTTGTTTTTGACTTTTTGAGACGACTTTTTAACGACTATCCTCATGACGATGAAAATTAATCCCTGAATGTCTTTTGTAACAAAATTTTTACTTTTAGAGATTAAAATATTTGATCTTTAAAATTCTTTTATGTTATAGTGTGAAGACAAGAGGAATGATAGTGACTTAGTATGGTGATAGAAAGAATATAGAGGAAGGTTAAAAGTACCCTCCCCCCATAAACAGCAAAGAAAAAGGAAGCGGCTAAGATTTCAAAAAGAGAGAGAGAGAGAGAATGGGAGGAACTGTTGTTACTTACATTTTAGTTCAATAGTTAAAATATTTTTTTATCAATTTTATTTAATGAAAATAGACAATTCATTTGAATTAAAAAAATAAAAATTTAAAATTTATTTTATTATAAACTCATTGAGACTTTTTTTCAAAAAAAAAAAATTGGTAATTGTCCCGAACATTTTTGTACTTTTATTAATTATTATATTTAAACTAACACCTAAATTTATGGTGTGGGTTGAAAACAAGGTTTAACTTGCACGTCGTCTCAAGTTGATGCACCATGTAGGTATAGCCCATAGTTGGGATTAATGGTGACAATTGTTACAAAAATAAAAGTTCTGTACGAGTCCGTGCAATCCCGCAGGAAAAA